AAGTAGCGTAGGTATCGTCACGTTCTTCTGTCCTTGCGTCACTTGCGGAAAGACGTGGCATCGTCTTCACTACAATGGCGACATGAGTGGCTATGAGATTGTCAACGTGCCGGTACGCCATTTCCCTCCCTGACAAAGTTCCATCCAGCTTCGATTAGCGTCCCACACTATCCCACCGCATAATTCCTTCTCGGATTCCTGACTGACACTACCGGCAACAGTGCATAGCATACGGTTACTCGTTCCTCTGCTGTACCCCGCTCGCCCACGGCTTCCTCGTCTGCGTCCCCTTCGCATGGCAAACCTATCGGATCCGCAAACTAGGCGACCTCGGCGGCACTTGTGTTGCCGATATACTCAAGACGTGGTTTTGCACGTGCTGCTCGTTGATCCAGAACGAGAAGGAATCGAAGTTGTTGATTGAAGGGCGTACAACGGGGTTTTGGGGCGGTGACGGCGCGGGTGCTGAGGGTGTCGTTGTGCGGCAACCAAATGGGGGGTTGGGGGAGGTGATGATTATGCCTATGGCGGTTGGAGGGGGGGTTACTGGGCAGGGAGTGAATGGGACGACTACAGTTGGGGAATGTGCTGCGGTCTCTGAGCTTGCTGGCGAGACAGTGGTTTGCTTTGAAGGAGAGGAAGATGATACAGAAGGAGCCACTGGGGTACAACCACATGTCGACGGAGCCACCGATCGACACACCCGCCTCGAACCGCATGTGCCAGTTGACAATTTCAGCGAACACAGTTCCCACTCAGAAACGGGCGACGAGGTCATGGAGCGCACCGTCGCATCCGAGGACTCCACCTTAGATCTGGCTGTGATGGCATTGTCTGCGACTCCACAGTACATCGCCTGTACGGCTCCTGCGCGAACGACTCAATCTGAGATACCCAGTCACCTGGACAAGTCCGAGAACGATTCGTGTCCGGACCCGGCTAGCGAGCACATCTGTAACAACGGTGAAGCGGTAATGGCAGAATAATACTGGGTATGCTCTGTGCGAAGGATGGTTTTGCTAGAGTAGACTACGCTTGAAGAGCTTGGGAAGAGGGATGATGTGATGGGGTGCTGAACGGGTGGTCGGAAGAGGCGGATGGTGTCGCGTGTTCTTATTCTGTCCCTACGTAGTCTTTTTTGTTCTTAACCTAGTTAACGCCTTTGTGGTTTCAATGCATCGCTGGTATCTTCAAACTAGTTCTCTCATTAATGCTTGTTTTGAGGAACTCGTCATGTTGATTTGCACGGTCGAAGATGGTAGAGAAGGTATGAAAGTGCGAGATACTTCTTCACTATGATTTCGTAAGTCATTATACAAGCAACTAATCCGTTGGGTACCTTGAGCTCAAGACTCCAAAGCGGCGGCAGGATCAAATCATGCAATTCGTACATTCTACAGTCCGCTCAACCCATCCAACAATGCGGTCAACCCACCAACACCCAGCAACGCGCCCGCCGCGGCCTTTCTCCCTGTATGACTTTTCTTACCATACTTGTCCCTTTCCCTCTCCTTCTCATACGCTCTACTTCTCGATTTGGATCTGCGCCGTCTTGGGCGTTCGAGCTCAGACTCGGATGTGGTAAAGTCGTCGTCATGTCGTCGGTTGCCGGCATAAGTGGGGTTCATGTAGGATTGGCGGAGAGGCGAGGCTTGTACAGGGTAATTCTGGTTTTGGATTGGTGCATGTGGGGGCGCGGGTGCGTTTGCAAAAGGGGTGTTTGGAGGTGGTGGGTAGTATGGTGGTGCGTTCATCGGCTGGGATGGGTGTCCGTTGGCTTGAGGTGGGTACTGTGGGATTCGTGGGGAGTGAGGGCGTTGTGGTTGTTGAGGGGTATATTGACTGGGTACCGGTATCTGGAGATTTGGAGTGCGGGTGTTGATCTTTTGCTGGGGTGGCGGTGGGACGAGTCCCGGTCCAGGCATCGAGAGTGATCGGTCTAGTGGGGGTGGCCCAGGCGGCGGTGCGTAGTGCATCGTGTTCGTGCGATCAAGCGGGGGATGCGTGTTTCGCGGCACTGGTGTTCGGTCGCGGTCGAATGCGCTTCCTTTTAGAGCAGTAGGTGGCGGTGGGGCACGATGGAAAGATGATCTCCTGGCTTGTGGTTGTTGGGGTGGAGTCTGTGGTGCTGCTTTCCGGTAGATGTCAACGGTACGTTCGACAAGACGTTTGACTTGGTCAAACTGCAATGGACGTTCGATGCAGAAGCATGTCTCCCCTCTCGTTCGCCTACTATCCCTCCGCTCCTTTTGATATTGTGTAAACCTGAAACCTGCCTCTCGGATTGCTTCCTTGCACACCCAACTAGCCATGATCTCGGTCCAACTGCTACGTTCCAGGTAGGCAAGTGAATACGCTTGATCAGTATTCGAGCTGACTTGCTTGGCATCGACAAAGCGCCAGTAGTATTTGCGCGTACACAACTTCCAAGGTATTTCTAGATCGACTTCACTATCTTCCTCTTTCGCTTCTACCGCGGCGGCAGCCTCGATGGGGAGACTCCCTAGACTGGATCGAGGCGAAGCAGCTGTCTGCTGTTCATTTGTAGCAGCCATGCTCGCTTGTGATGTACGAGGTGTAGCGATCGGTGTTGGCGGTGCAGGCGGACCGTAATGCTTCTCCGGGTGTGGACTAGACAGGCTGCTGGCCTCAGTGAACAGCGGCTGTATGCTGCCCGACCTTTGTGTTCGCCGAGCGCCATCACCTGAAAGCTTTGATGTGCGGCTCTGCTCTTCTTCGCTATCTGACTCTACAGTAGCTTGTTGATACTCTTGTCTCTGCCTTTGTAGTTCACGTTCTTCGTCTCGTAAGCGGCGCTCAAATAGAGGCAGACTCGTCCATTGTTGTAGCAAGTGCTCGGCGCGCGAAGCCGATATACTGAAGACCGCAGGCAGACCATTCGCTTCGGTGTATACCGACGTGTCGAGGCTTCTCAGGTCCTCATCCTGATAAGATCGAAGGCTGGTCGGCCTAGGGCTTTCGCCATGCTCTGTGACAACTAAGCTCTGGGAACTGTCTGTCTCCATCAATAAGCGCGCATCAGACCGTGGTAATTGTTCGTAGAAGTTTGAAGCTGATAAGATGGATAGTTGTTGTTGAACAATGAGTGCCTCGAGTTGAATCTTTTCGTTGTCAACAAGTTTAGCGGCTTGTTGCGGAGATACCGTGGGACGTAACCTGAACGACTGTCAGCATCATACTACTCCAAGCCAAGATGTACCTCAAGTAGAAGATAGAGCTATGCGGATGCGACTGGGTCAGAGGCCGAGTGCAGTGTAAGGATGTAAAACTTACTTTGACCACATTATAGTCTGTGCTGCATACAACGTCTGCAGTAGAACAGAGAGCGTCATACTTAGGGCTTCCAGGTGAGCTGTGAAATAGTCTAAGCTTGCCTTGGTCGAATGATCTAAACGGGGATGGCTGTGCTGAGTAGAGCGAACACTGTCTCTTCGGTCATGGAACTTGTCGTTCTCGATCGAGGTAGTCATCTCGACGCTGGTAAGCAAGTTCTGAGCCTGATCGATGGCATCGTCCAGGGTGTTGATGGCCTATATGGATGTCAGCGAGGGTGTCCACGACCTCATTCAACAAAGCATAAGCATTCGCTCCTCCTTGACTAATGTCTTCAACTCCCTTGATCGGACAGAGCAGATGAGTGGTATTCCCAAAGTCTTCTTGGTATTATGCCAGTACAGCACTCCGATCTTGGAATAGGCCATGCTTTCTCGTAATTGCAGCGCGACTCGCGCGTCCTTACGTACCTCAGGTGACGGCAAACGATCGTCCTCTTTGATGATCGTCCCTAGCTGCTTGAGTATTGCAGCGAAACCGTTTGTTTTGTTTGCGACGGCAACTAGGTCTTTCGCGGCCTCAGGCGACTCCACAGCAACGCCGTATAGCTTCAGCGCGAGAGCTGAGCTCCTCGACACTACCGGTAATATATCCGCCAGCACTGCCATGCTCCCGCTAGAAAACGCAATACCAGATTGGAAAAAAGAGACAAAAAGAGCAGTGTGGAGAACCGGAGTCTTGGGAAAAGGCACCCGCAGCGAAGAGAGTCGAAATCCTTCGATATGTGTTACCGACTAGCTAACCCTAGAGTCGTGTGAGGTCATAGTGTAGGAATTAATGCAGGGCGCTGGTTGACCGACGACTAAATCCGGCGAAGATCACGGCCTAGTGATTGGCCAAGGTGCACGGCTGAAGGCAGGCGAGCACGCGAAGTGTTGAACTTATGCAGAAGTTGCCGCAGGGCTGGGCGAAAATCAGTGCATCGTATGCATGCAAGGCGGAGGCAGTGCGCTCTCGTCAGTGTTTCCAATAAATTCCTTGGTTGTCCGCGCGTGGGAGGCCTCGAGGGATTTGGCCCTCAACTGGAACTCGACTACGTGTTGGCAGCCTTTGCTGTCGGTATACCTGTCCACATGCCTAGTCCGAAGTATGCGCGGACGTCTTCAGGTGTTGCGCGTCAACAGTTGACTAGAGGCGCGCCAACGGTGTGGCACAGGATGACGCCGGCTATACGGGCGCGAGTTGGCCACCTGATGATTTCCGAGGCTCAGGCTGAGAAGAGTGGACAAGCGCATCGCGAAAGTGTACTTTGAATCTGCCTTGAGAGGCCGGCATCTGGTGGTGTGAGAAGAAGATCCGGTGAAGATTTGAGGACGTGGTGGTGATCAGAGCCGGTTTGGGCCACTGGCAGTGGTGAGCTGCAGGCCAGTACATGTCGCGCCGTATCCCGTATAGCCTGCAATGGGAGAAGACAAGGCCTGGACAGCGTTCGGAATGGCATGCAGCTGCAGCGATGCCTGAGGGCGTTTGAATCATGGTAGTCAGTGAGCAAGTACAGACACATGTTCTTCACGGGCAGAGTGGGCGAGGTCGCACGTTGTTAGATGCCCGAGTCGACGCCCGGCGCCATGCATGCAGAGATGCCTTGACGTAGTTTCAAAATGTCTTGTACATATATGTCTACATGCAGTGTACAGGCCTAATTTCTAGGCGCCCATGAAAGATCGAGGGCTCTTGCTCTTCAGCGTTGTGTTCTGGCCGACAAAGTCCCAGTCAATCCTGTCCCACCACTGCTCGAGGAAGGCCCTCTTCCCGCGGACACCGTAGTCGTGCAGCCAGACGTGCTCCCACGTGTTGACGCACAGCAGCGGCACTACATCGACGCCGCCCAACGGCTTCTTGGGCTTCTGGTCCTGCTGCGCGGCCACGCCGAAGGAGCCCACCTTGTTCATGTTCTGGTACGAGTCGGCGTTGTGTGTGTTGAGGTCGTGGGACTGGCGCCTGTAGTGGGCGCCCGACAGAGGCGATCCGGCCAGGTAGGTGGGCAGGATGCGCAGAGTGCCGCCCAGGCTGTTGTCGTTGGTCTGGACGAGCCAGACAAAGCCGGGGCCGAACATGGACTCGGCGGTGGCGAGGAAGGTGTCGCGCAGGGTGTCGAGCGAGGTGAAGTGCCTGTTGATGTGGGCGTGGAGGTCTTTGGACGGCTGGGCGTGCACGTCGGGGTTGGTGTTGAGGCCGCGGAAGAAGAAGTGGTTGTTGAAGGCCATGCTGGCGATGTTGAAGGCGTAGGCCTTGGTCGGGTCGCGGGCGAAGTCGACGACGAGGGCCTTGGCCTCCTGGTTCTCCCACGGCGTACCTGCAGAGCGACGTTAGCCTGTGGCAGCGCCCTGGACGCGGCGGGGCGCTGGCGTACCGGCGGTGGATGCATTCAGCTCGTCGACGATGTGGCCCTGGTACTCGGTGTAGGCGGTGCGGAAGCCCGTGGGCGAGAGCACGCCCGGGATGCCGTTCTGCTCGAGCTGGGCGTGGTTGTCCAGCGGGGGCACTGTGTAGAGGCTGCGGGCGGCGGGCGGCGGCCGTCTCCACGACACCCTCGAGGCCCCGGCTGCAGACTGCATGGCTCCCGGCCGGCGGGCCAGACAGCGTGTAATCATCATGTGTGCTGTCGTTGCGGGCGGCGGGCGAACTGGAGTCGGCCGCCCGTTGCTCGCTGCTCATCTTTTTCCGGCCTCTGCATCGTCGCGCTAGCCCCCGCCCAATCACGACGCGCCGAGCTCCAAGCGCCCGCGTCACTCGTTTCACCCACTCGCCTGCTTGTCCACGCAGAGCCACACAAGCACCGCAGTCACCTGCCACCAGACGCTGCTAGCCAGACCCTCCGCCCACCATACAATGCCTCTTGTCCACTCGGCGCCTCGGCTGCCTCTATTCTCAGAACACTCTCGCCGTGAGGAACGTCACTCGCGGCTCCTCGAGTCTAGCTCGTGCAGGTAGATATGCCCAAGGTAGGCCGTGTCTTTGTCTGTTCCGTTGTTCGTACTCTGCTTCCGTATCGCTCTCTCATTTCTTTGTTTCATTCCGAGTCACTTGAGGTTCGCAGGCCCGACCTCTTCAACCTAATACCGCCATCACTTCCATTTCCACCACCATGGCTCCAGTCACACCCTCTCCCAGGCTCTCGAGGATATCCCTCGCTTGCCTTTTCCTATCCCTCATCCCCACGGCACACGCGTCCAGTCTCTTCCTCCGCCAAGCAGAAACATGTGGAGGGAGCGCAGGCCTCCAACAGTGCGGATCCGACTTCCCTTCCTCGTTTTGCTGCCCCAAAGACTCAACATGCATGTCTCTCAACGGCGGAGACATACAATCAGTCATCTGCTGTCCGTCCGGCTCGGACTGCGCCTACATCCAGCCCACCACCTGCGACACCACGCAGCTGAACGCGACGCTCCATCCCGACAACCAGATGCATCTCTCAGAGACCGACGGCATTGACCTGCCCAAATGCGGCGACAAGTGCTGTTCGTTGGGCTACACGTGCCAGGGCACTATGTGCGCCAAGGACACCTCGCCATCGTCATCGCCGTCCCCAACGTCAACCGCAAACCCGACACCCTCCTCCACCAGCCCGGCGTCCGCCTCCCAAACCTCCGACTGCTCAGCCACCGCACCCGTCCAAACCAAGCAGGGCTTCGACGGCCGGTCCTTCGCAGCTGGCTTCTTCCCCGGCATAGTCATCGGCGCCCTCAGCACCCTCGCCCTGATCTGGATCATCAAGAAAAGGCGCGAGTCACAATCTAAAGAGCGCTACTCCGGCGACTTCGGCCATGTAGCACGCCAAATCAGCGACCCAATCTACGACCCCCAGCACGCCGCGCGGACCGACTTCATGCGCCGGGGCAGCCACTCCGCGCATTCGAGCCCCAACTCCACCGACCGAATCGTCCAAGGCATGAAGGAAACAAACGCCAACCCGCCCGTCCACGGCTTTACCCCCAGGATAAAAAGCATGTGGGACCGCACCCCCAAACTGAATTTTGGCTTCACGGGCGGTCTCCCAGCAAACCCTGCACCTCTCCACCCTCCTCCCGTGCGCGCAGGGAACTACACAGATCCGTACCAGACCCCGCCTCCCAAGCCCAAACGCATTCATTCTGCTAGTCGGCGCTCGAGTTCCCTCCGTACCAGCACGCAGACATTCAACACACAGCAAGGGCAACAGCGTCCGAATGTCGCGCGCAGCGGCAGTTCAGAGACCATTGATGTCTTGATGCCAGCACCGAGTTTCCTGGCGCCTCCACAGGCACCTGGTATGCGGCGCGACAATCGCTTCACGGCAGACTCGGCGAACACTACGTTCACGAAGCTCATGGAGCGGGCCGGGTTTGATGAAGGTGGGCGCCAGGAGGTGAGGGAGTGGAGGACGCCTAGAGTGTAGGCGCTGCAACACCTTGTTTCGATTGGTCGGTCCAGTCATGTGATGCTTTTTCTCTTCTCTTCGTACATATATTCTTCCCCTCTTTGCTGTCACTCCCCTTTTCTTGTTAGCGCTGGCGTTTCGGACCTTCTTTATCCTGGGCTGGCATCCTCACTGCATCTGCGTTTGCATTTGGTTCCGGCGTTTGTGTCTCTTTTTAGCATGATACCACATAGGCAGGCCTTTAGTCGCTCTCTACGAGCTATTCCTCTTACTGATCAAATATGAAAACCACCATTGCAATCTTCAGCCATGCTTCGATGTGGAATGTCTAGTCCAATGTTCGTCCATCACTGTCAAACGCTATGATGTAACTCGTGTCAACACATGTACGAGCTGTGTTCTAATCATATTATTCGGCGAGTATAAGACCCATGCACGCCTAGGTGCATTTTGTCATCCTTTCAATATATATACATCTTTGTAATTCATTCGTGTAGATCTCATCAAGTACGCCTCGTGTATATGAATACAGCTACCCAGTACCACGCTATCGCAACACTGACATGATTACCTCAAGGGATGTGCTACATAATCGGGGGCCAATGGCGCCAAACGTTCTTGCCTCGATCGGGCAGCTGCGGAAAGATCAGAAGTTGGCGTATTGTTTACAAGGATTGGTAAAGTTTGAACCGCACCCTGTCCCAACGTGCCCGAATGCGCAGTCGACGACGCGCCACGGGGACCTGCATCTGGCGATCCCATGATCCTCGCCTCTGCTGCCTGCGCCCTTAGTTCACGGCCAACCTCCCTCTCCACTATAGGTCTCGCCGCTTTCCGCTGCTTGCCAAAAAGACAGTGCCACAAGTCGTCTTCCTTGACAATCTCTCCTTCGCCCTTCTTGCGCAGGAGCTGTTTGACGGGCGCAGCTTGGAGTTCGGCCGAGTTCGCAGCGTCCAGTGTCTGTTCTTTGATAGCGGGAGTAGTGGGATTAGACTGCATCGGTGTTTTCGACAATGTGTTGTTGCTGATATGCTCGAGGCGGCGGGCGACAGAGATATCGTAGATGGCTTCTTCGACTGTGTTGCTGATAAGGTACATAAAAACCGTCGTGGGTCGTTCTTGCCCGATTCGGTGGACGCGGTTGATGGCTTGGAGTTCGATCGCGGGATTGATGAGCGGTTCGCAGAGGAAGACGTAGGTAGCGTTTACAAGACTTAGGCCTGAAGAATCGGTTTTGGCATCCAGGAGCAAACACTCGACACTGGGATCTAGCTTGAACTCCCGGATGCCGTTCTTGTCAGTGATACTGCTGGCACCAATCTTCCACTTTTTCAGCGCTTCGTAGAGCACTTCGAGGAAGTCGCCAAACTGGGAGAAGATGATGGACTTCGCACCAGGGTCGTTGTTGCGGATCCAGATCAAATGACGCGCGATCATATCTACCTTTGTGCCGTATGAGCCTTCCAAGTCGATCATCTTGATCTCTTTCATCGTTGAGTCAGACAGGTCAGAGTAGATGGACGTGGTGGACGAAGAGCCTGGCGTAGAAGCATGCGTCCGACTGGCAGCTGCGTCCATCTCTTCTTTCGCTCTGATTTCGGTCGGTTTGAAGACAATATCCTTGAAGTCGGACGAGCCCAACTTCTGCTTACAAGTTGGGCAGGTCCGATGTGCCTGCCACCATTGATTGATGCACTCTTTGCAGTACTTGTGACCGCAAGCCGTCAAGACTCCGATCTCAATGTCTTCCCTACAAATGATACATTCGGCTGTCGTCTCCTTCAGATTTTCACTCCGGAGATGCTTCAGATATGTGCACTTTGTTTTGAAGCCATTGGCGTTGTTCTCGCGTTTCTCTCGCAAGTCGTCGGTTCTGTCGAACTCGCGCTGGTCGAATCTGCTGTCTAGCGTCTCCTTGTACTTTGCGACGGTATCGGAGATATGTTGAAACTGCCGATAGTACTCTAGACGTTGGTTCATGGTGCCTCGATACAGTTCCTGCTCTTTCTCAAGTTCAGTGATAACCTTTGCCTGTTCTGTGACTATAGCCTGAACCTTAGTGATGTGCGTCTGAAGGATTTCGAGCTCGGAAGAAGCGCGGACATCACCACTGTTCGCTTTCCATTGCAGAGTAGTCATCAAGGAGCGAATACTAGAGATAACGCCCCTCAAAGATCCAGCCCGGAGTTTCGCTTGCAGTTCGCGTCGTCTCCTGACAACTTCAAGCACAAGTTGAGGTGCGTGACCACGATCGCCTTCGTCGTTGTCTTTCCTCAGGGCTTGCTTTTCGGCAGCCCTAAGCTCGTGTTCGACAAGAGTGTCCTGTAGACCGTTTACAGCAGCGTTGCGATCTGCGACGAGTGTTCGAAGAGCCATGATGTAAACATATAGCTCATCCTGGGCCTTGAGCGAGTCATCGTATTCTTCTCCTGTCAACTCTTTGTCGTCTTCGTCATCAACCAAGCGCGTAAGAAGAATGTCAATAACTCTTGTGCGCCAAGCGTGTATCTGCTGAGCTTGCTCATTCAAATAATCACTGATGTTGTCCATCGTGTCAAGAATCTTTCGCGCTTCAATACCCCCAAGACCTGGGAGGTCAGCGATCGTAGGCAATTGGAGAGGCGTTTTGGTATTGACTTTGGCCATTTGCTGCTGCGCTTTACTCTTCGATCCCTCCAGCAGCTCATGGCGAATGGCCCTGGCCGCCTCGTAGTAAGATGTCTCAGACTCGTCCCACTCGCGCCACCTATCCGATTCTGGGTCCGTGTTGTACATTCGCAATTCTTTTCTCTGATGGAACGAAGTGGCGCTAAAGAACTGAGCGGCATGCTGAAGCTCCAGAAATGACCGTAGCGATTTACGCAGAATCGGGATACGGCCCATCTTATCTGCAGCTACATCTTGCTCTTCATCAGCCTCACGAAGGTCAGCTGTAGATGCGCGGCCCAGCTTCTGCTGCTCCGCGCGTAGCTCGCCTCTGCATATCTTGATATATGTCTCTGCTTCTTCTCGGGCTTTGTAGTAGTACTCAAGTGCGTGTACTGGATCTTCGGAATAAGCATGAATGTGACCCATCTTGATCAGACATAGAATCATTTCGCGAGCCTCTGACTTCCATTTGGTGTCGTTCTGCTCAATCATGACCTCCAGAACTTCGTGTACGGTGCGCAAAGCCGCCTTCTTTCCACCCAAGGCTCTTTGATTCTTTCGACCCACGTTCGCATGGAGACACGT